CTGTCACGCTGGGGACGGGGTTCGGGGCGGGGGGGGATGACCGCGTTGTGCCGTTAGGTGTGATTTGGGAAGGCTGGAGCAGGCTAGAGACCCCCTCAGAGCAGCGCTTGCACTGACAGAACCGAAAATGCCCAGAAACATCTCTTGTCCGTGCCTGCAGAGAAGTCCACTTGGGCTGAAACGTGGTTTCGCATGTGTAGATGAGCTGGTCCGTATGACCATCGCCATAAACTCGGTGATCCGTCCCGGGTTTCAAAGCCTGCTGTCCCTTTAATGTCTGGTTTGACAGCTTTGGGTGAGGAAGCACTTCCAACAGCTGTCTTCTTGGCAGTGCACCAAGCGCCGGCTTAAAGGGTCCCCGGCTGGAGCAGCTTCACCTTCTGCCTCAGAACAAACCCAGCGATTGTTTCGTGTTCCGGCTGCTTTTCTACCAAGCAGGGGCTGTGCTGTGGCACTGTGCGTGCCTTTTGTACTGCAGCTCTACGATTCCATACAAAATACATACATTCTGTCTAAAAACTCTTCCCTGCCGCTGCGATTATGTGGGTGGTAGCCCCGCTTCGGTTGAAAATTAGAAGTGTTTTTAAAAAAAACTCGTTAAACTTATTAAACTTTCCAAAATCGCGGTTCTTCTGTCATTTTATGTATATTACATACTTTTCCAGATCTATATCTGACTACAGATGGTGGGCACATCCTGTTTTTGCCATCAGTTATTTCATTGCTGCTTTTACTGTACATATTTTGTCAATAAATACATCTGGATTGACACTTGTTCGAAGTATTTTCTGTGAGAATAACGTCTATTTTATTTTCCATTTTCTATTACCAAAAGATGATGAAGATGAGGAGGAAGAGGATGAAGAAGAAGAAATTGATGTTGTGACAGTGGAGAAAAGACGCTCCGCCTCCAACAAGGCTGTTACCACCCTTACTATTACAGTGCGTCCTAAAAATACCACTTTTCCATCAGTCAGGACACAGCAGAATGAACTGATTTTAAAGCGTTGTGCACCAATTCACCAGCAGCATAATTATGCCGCTCCTTCTCCATACATGGAGAGTGAAGATGCTCCACCGCAAAAGAAGTTAAAAACCGAGGTGCCCCGTCCAGTAAAACCCCCGATCCAACCAAAGTCTAAGAGTTCAAGTCCTCGAAACTCTGATTCGGAGGATAGTGAACGTCGACGCAACCATAATATCCTAGAGCGTCAACGGCGTAATGATCTACGGTCAAGTTTCCTCACATTAAGGGACCATGTTCCAGAACTGGTAAAAAATGAGAAAGCTGCAAAAGTTGTGATCTTGAAAAAAGCCACTGAATATGTTCATTCCCTTCAGGCAGAGGAGCAGAAGTTGTTGCTAGAAAAGGAAAAATTGCAAGCCAGACAACAACAATTGCTAAAGAAAATAGAATACAAGCGGACTTGCTAAACTTTTTTTTGTTTTGTTTTGTTTTGGCTGACCAGGACAGTCATTGCCACTTTGCACATTTTTGATTCTTTAAAAAAAATTGTGTTTTTTGACGTTAAGAATGTTGGTTTTACTTTCAATCCAGTCCCTGAAGTAATCGACAAACTATATTATCCGGGTACGGAGCAAATGGATGTTCTTGCAAGGAGTTTTTTGCAAGACTACCAAACAACAATGGACTGCCTTTGTTTTTCTTCTTAAGAACTGTAGATGGTGGGGATTTTTTTTTTTTTAAATTGTTGTGAGCATTTGGAGCTGCTGATGACATCTAGTTGAGTTTTAAAACGTTCATTCCTAAGTTTTATGGTGCTTATGTTCTAACAGATGTTACTTTAGGGGTTGGCATTTTGTACCCCTGTGGGAATTTTCTGTAAATACCATCTACACACTTGCCTTTTGTACATGTCTTGGGTTATGAGAGGTGGCTTTTGCTACCAGTATTAGACTGGAAGTTCATACCTAAGTACTGTAATACCTCAATGTTTGAGGAGCATGTTTTTGTATACAAATATATTGTTAATCTCTGTTATGTACTGTACTAATTCTTACATTGCCTGTATACTTTAGTATGATGCTGATACATAACTAAATTTGATACTTATATTTTCGTATGAAAATGAGTTGTGAAAGTTTTGAGTAGATATTACTTTATCACTTTTTTGAACTAAGAAACTTTTGTAAAGAAATTTACTATATATGCCTTTTCCTAGCCTGTTTCTTCCAGTTAATGTATTTGTTAATGTTTGGTGCATAGAACTGGGTAACTGCTAAGTTCTGTGTTTAATTTCTTCCAACGATGTACATTTAGTGCTGCGTCTCATAGCACTTTGAAATACCTCATGTTTATGAAAATAAATAGCAATTACATGATGTGCCATTTACTATTTTTCTCTTAAATGAAGTTCTTTTAAATAAAATCTTTAACTTCGCAATGTTCATGAAATACAAAAACATGGTCCCATATCCTGGGCACTTAAACTCTCAAACTATAGGTGACGCTCTATGAAAAGTCAGCTAGGCAGGACATTTCCATTTCTGGTTAAAAAGTAATTGTAGCAAGAACAATTTTCCTATTCTTTCATGCTTCAGATGTCTCTTGTGATGTCAGGATCATCCCAGGGGACTGAATGTACCACAGTTAATGGAAAGACTCCCATGTCTTGTGAAGACTTCTGGAATATCCACTGTATGCAGAGAATTGAGAGGGATCAGAAACACAGCTAGCATGCTTCTGCTAAGGGACTGGCCTCAGTGTGGTAGATGGGTGGAGAAGTAAATGATGGAGTTACACTTGCTACAGCAGAGAAAATGAAAAATTTGTAGTAAACAAAGATCTTACTTAAGACTGCTGTTCTTATTTGCATTACAAAAGGCTTATCCTTAAAGCGGTCCATCATTGCATAGGACAATTAATGTTCTTGTTTGTAGCTGATAAGTTAGTAAAATTAAAAATCCCAGGGAAGATACAGAGCTGTAAAGCGTGCGTAAAATGAACAATGAAACTTGGCAGGTGGTTGTCTTGAGGTATGATGGCATTTGGTGTGACATGAGCAAGACATGGAATCTGTGAAATATGTTTGGTCGTTTTGGTAAGCTCGAGACCAAGGAGTTGTTTTATTTTCTAGTCTGTACAGGTATTTCTGACATTGTCTTTCCCCACACTGAACCTGAAAAATAAGGTATGGATTAATGACCAAATGGCCAGTAAGTAGTTTAAGGATCAACTTGCAAGGAGCTAGTCTGGGGCATCTGCCCTTACTTTAGCCACAAAGGAAGTAGCTTGCTTGGTGATGGAAGTGCAGAACATCTTGTATTTGCCATGAGGTGACGGAGAGTAAGAGCAGTATGGGGGCAAAATCGCCACAGTAATGGATGTGCCATAAGTCCATGTCCTACAGTAAGTAGCTTGTTGGGGCACCCACAACCTGTGCATTCTTGGGCCCCGGCCAGCTTCTGTACCAAGAACACCAGGAATCGTACTTGCTAATATTTCAGTGCAGTAAATCCAGATCCTCAACAGGCACAAGTTGGTATAACGGCGTTTGGATTCAGCTAGGCCTACACAAGTTTATGCCATTTGAAGATTTGGCCTGAACAGACTTAGTATCTTCTAATTTCATACTTGAGGACCACAATCTTTCCATAAGTAGAATCCTTGTTTTCATTCCCTTGATGTGGACTTGATCATGCTTCTTCCACTTTCCTAGTACAATGAAAAAACAGTAAAAGACAAAGCCTAAGCAGTGACAATTGGTGTGGACAATCACAGGGTACATTTAATTTTACTAGTTACAACAAACAAACAATTTTCAACCCCATTTTATTAGCAATTTTTTTTGAACTGCTGTGGTACTGTTTTCAAACAAGGTACAAGTCACTTGAGTCTTCCTGAAAGAGAAGGAAAGCTTTTCAAACATCCATTGTATTGTCTTTCTAACCTGTGCTTGCTTGACTTCCAACAAGGGCTTCTTAACATGAGTTTACAGTTAGACTGAGTATTAACATAAAAAAAAAAAAAGTTACAGCTGTGTACTGGCCAGATACTTTTCTAGCAGATGCAAATCATATTCTGAACAAATAAATCACAGAATGATCTGTCACTGTCTCTTTACAGTCTAGGAATGTACTGTCTAAGGATTGAACATGGAAAATTGAACAGATATTCCCCTCCCTTCCCTTCCCTTCCCTTCCCTTCCCTTCCCTTCCCTTCCCTTCCCTTCCCTTCCCTTCCCTTGGAACAGCTGGTCCGAACCCTCCACTCAGAGCAGGGCCAAACTCTAGGTCACATCAGGTTGCTCAGGGTCATACACAGGCAAGGTTTGAATGTCTTCAAGGATGGAGATTCCACAGCCTCTCCGGAGAACACATTTCAGTTTTTGACTACCATGACTGATACAAATTTTCCTACTACCTATTTGGAATTTTCCTTGTTGCAACCCCTGTCCATTGCCTCCTGTCTTTTTGTGTTTAACCTCCCAGAAGAGTCTGGCCCCACCTTCTCTGTAACCTCCCATTAGGTAGTTGAAGACAGCAATTACTTCTCCTTTCTCTTCTTGAGACAACCCTGTTCTGTCTTGTATTGTTGTGGTATCCAAGCATTTAGAGTATAATAAAGGTGTCAAATACTTAGATTTGTTTGGATATTCAACACAAATCCCATCTGAAAGCCTCTTTTTCAGTGTGGGAGTCTTGGCCTGATTCTATTCAGTGATAAACGTCCAACTGCTGTCAGTGGAGATAGAAACTGGCCCCATATGGTTCAGAAATGCTCCCATATACTGTACTGTTCATAGCTATATGCTGTACTACCAGTACTTCGGGTTTGTCTTTTTTTTTTTTTTTTTTTCCTGCTTTTAAATAACTTTCAGGAGTTAATAGGTTTGTTTCCGTATTGTTGCTGTAGGGAGCAAGTTGTTAAGGATAAATGTTTTTGTAAACAAAAATCTCAGTTGTAGGATGTTACTAAGTTACAATTGTTAAATAGAAGATAGTGGGTTTCAATTCTTTTGTATTTACACGATAAAAAGAAT